TAGGCTGCTGTGTTTTGACCTGTGTCTGGTGAGTGTTCAGGCACAGTCCAACTGAGGATATGTGGTCAAGACACTGTGATTAATTACCACACGCATGTATGCATTAGAGGCTTACATTATAGAACAAACTACTATAGTAATTATGGGGTGGGATAAAGAGAAATGTACAAAAGGGCACCACCTGTGGAAAACTCCAGCATAAGTATGTATAGGTACAAGAAAAGTTTTTACAACAGCTACCATAAGCAAAACCACAGCAGTCAGACTTACATCTGATAACAAGAGCACTAATCACAACTTCACTCTATTAAATATTAGAAAATATATGTACTTCAACATTATAATGCATATTTCAAAAACAATTCCACAACCAAGACCAAACCATGATTAAACCAGGCCTTACAAAACCCAGATCTAGTGTGAATGCAATACATACATTCAAGTTTTAAGTTACGTTTAATCAATAATTGTAAAGTAAACCACAGCACAAAATACGTGGATGAGTAATTATCCATCTGAGTTTGCAAGTCTGTTACAACAGCAACAACAACAACATTACCCTAGTTCTGACCTCACCCTGGGACATCCTGGGCTTTCTAGGGTCATAGGTCATCACAGAGGCAGCGAAAATCCACTGGGGGTCAAAGGTTATAGTGAACAAGAGGGTGCCAACAGGTACACAGCATGGCACGCTGCTAAACATATAAGTAATGCATTGTGTTGACAGGAGCTACTTAAGCCCTGAATAGGTCACTTCATAGCCTTTCTAGTCTTTATGGCCAACACAAAGGCAGAGTTACAGGTAACCGCTGGCTAATTACTCCTAATTGCATCAGTCACCTAGAGAAAGCACTGAGAGAGAGCGCACGTGTGGCTGTTAACCAAGCATATATTCAGGAGCTATTAAAAGCTCATTAACCTGCATTTTATTAGAAGCCCCCTGCCCTTGTCCGTCACAGCGTTAATGTATTTTCCGTAAGGCTTTTGCTTCCTCCCTCTTTAGATCTAATTGCTCTTTTGATTTTACGACTATACGCCTGTGTTGGGGCTGTATATCTACTCTTTTTTTTCTCATCTTTTATGACCAGGATTTAGTACTGCACAATAAGGCCCCCAGGGAGCACCACTTACCTCCACTGAGTAATGTGATTATAACCGATCAGAAAAGGCAAAACAGAGCAACTCTTATCTGTAATAGACAGCTTTTTTTCTTTTCACTTTTTTGATCTATGTTATAATAGTTAACATTTTTAAGGGACGACAGGCTATACCACACACACACACAAAAATAATATAACTGGACAAAAATCAGGGATCTACTGCTCCTTGGACTTAAAACGGTATGAAATATGTCCAGGTGATGGATGGGGCTCTCCCAGACAGAAACAAATGGCAAACACATTTTTAAAAATGAGATGAGTTAGAATAAAAATGTAAATAAATCAAATTGAGAGGTATCTTAGGTAACATTGTTAGACCAAATTTAACTCTACAGAAAACAACAACAACCACTTCTGCCATTTTTGTAGATTTTGATATCGTTTGATTAACATCTTTCACTGTGCTCTTTCCTCAGTAAATTAGACTAAGTCACCGCCAGGAGTAAGCACAAAAGTCCTTTCGTGTTTACAAAGTAAAGTCCTCTCTGTGTGTTGACAGGTGAGAGTTCACAGAAGCAAAGTTGGTCCCCTCCCAACGGAGCTGCGAGCGTGTAACCCCCAAGAAACACGCGCGTGTGTCAGACGGGGAGATAAACAGGGCACAGTGGCTGGGGGGGCTCTTTGACTTTGAGCACTAAGCCCTTATTTCATGCTGCCATTGTTTGTTTTAAGGACGTCAGCCTTAATACAGTTCCAGGCGATTTCCCACTGCGCGTCTCATGCGCGCCGCACCTCCAAGGCTCCGCTCGTGTGCGCGCACGAGTGAGATGCGCGCACGCCCTTCGTTCTCTTTGACTTTAGCCCAACTCATAGGACAGACACAAATTTCAAGGTTTGTGTACTTTCGTAGACTTATGGTTCGTGCAGTGAAGATAGCACTTCAAATGTGCTGCAAAACAAATGTGTCCAATTCCCAATAATCTATTTGCTTGAAAGTAAAAAGAAAGAGAGGCCTTGGTTTTTGTGTTATTTTTCTATTATTAGAATAGTAACAAGTGTAGCTGATGAGCTGACAGTAAACTGTGCTATAGGCTAATCCTGTAAGATAGATAAACGTTATTCATACATTAATAAAATATATATATATATATATATGCAAACTATGCAATAAACCACATTATAGTTTCACTGTACAAAAAGTCTTAAAGTGTGTTTTCTATGGTAGTTTAGCCAGTGATAGGCTATTCCCTCAGACTTTGACCCTGCAGACTGGACCGTGCGCACGTGGCTTTCACCTTGGACTTGCTTACGGAATCCACTGAATAAACATCTTCTCCAAATGTTAGCTAACTTCTGAAATCAGTAACATAACCCTATAACAGAGGGCCATGTGTTTGATTGGATTGTTTGGTGTGCGTTATTGGCAACGCTGCACATCGTTGCAGTGGGACATGACCTCTTTTGGACAAGCATCTACAGGCGGAATTAGAGATGGATTTTGTTTGCAGACATATACACAATTTAGTACAATTTGGCAAAATCACGTTATATTGTTGCTTTATTAATAAATTGTGTATGTGCTCGTTACGTTTCAACATCAGTCCGGGCATGCAAATAAAGGCTTTTTGCATGAGTGTGTGTCGGTCTTTCACTGAATGAGCCAGGCCACAGAGGACAAGCCCAACTTTCTGTGCCTCTCTCTATCTGGGCTATTTCTCCCTCTGTCTGTGTCACATAAACACGGTGCGCCCGCCTCCATCATCAGCACTTGTAGCCTAAAAAGAGGGATGTGGGTCACGGGGGCCAGGCCGCGCCAGAATGGCCCCATCGCGCACAGAATAAGGACACTTTCTTTATTAGATCAATTACACTAGTTTATCCTGGGTTTTTAGAACATTTTTGAACAAGGCCCCGACGAGGACTTAAGAGACTGTCACACGCCTACGTATTCATTAATACGCGGACAAAGTCTTATGTATGCGCCCTCCTCTCCATCACCAACTCTCCTAACCCTTTTTATTCAGACACCCCGAGACCTCCGCGGAACAAAACAGCTTTTAGCGCACTCCCATCGTCTCAGCTGAAAAATATGCACTCCTTTTATTCTTAAAATGCACGTGAAAAAAAAAATAATATTATAAAGTTTTATTTTATTAGGAAAATTTGACCGTATTTTTACAATCAGTTATTTAATACATACTTTTTTAAATTAAGATTTGGATAGCTGATTTTGTTTATGTTTATAATCTCACTATTTAGTATTGACATTAACAAAAGCGTTAAAAAAAAGAATAATAAGGATGAGCCGTTCCACTACATGACTGGCTTTTGTCTATTACGCACCAGGGTACTTAACAGCGGTCAGAAAGCGATCAAACCACGCACCTTTTACAGTACCTTGGGGACAGCTTTTCTTTCAACAGCTCTTTAACTTTTTTTTCTTTTTGGGGCCTGCGTCTAAACCCTACAAAAATAGCAGTAAGCCGCAATTAAGCCACCTGGACCGGGCCGCGTAAGAGACACCCGTTTCCGAGTTTTCCGTTTCCAAACAGCAATGTCTGCCTCCCTCTAAACACCGGACTTGTGTATGTGTGTTTTCAGTCCGTGTGCGCGCACCGGAGGCACCCGAGGGAGTCGAGGCCAAGCGCGCAACAGGCCGACGACATCTGCTTTGGAAAACAGCTCTCCAGATCGCAAACTTTGCCCAATATGATTGCTCTTAAATATCACAGCACGCCTGGCAAAGTGGAAAGTAGACGCGCCTATTTCCTGGCATCTTTCTGGCACCTGACGCAGCGCGCAGTGGAAAGGCTTTATGAGAGCTCAGCTATGACCCCGTATTTATTCAAGCGATATAAAAAGACAAGAGTGACGACAGAGAGAAAATGTGAAAGTCAAAAAATATTGTCCCTTTGAGACAGTCGTTAAAAAGCATTTCAGAGCGGTCTAAAATGTTTACTGGAAAGGCAATAATCTGTGGGGAATACACTTGTAAAACATGTGCGGAAAGTATCAAAAAATCTACAGGGAAATTATTTTACGCCAAATTAATTAAACAAGTCAATACGATAACACAAATGCATTTTCTTAGAAGATGAGGGAGTTACATTTATTATACTTAGATTATTTTTGCTCTCATTAACAGTCCAAATGAAATTTGCACACAATTTCAACAGGTCCAGTAAACCACATGCGCGTTGTGTCTCGGCCGTTTGAGGCGCTTATCTCCGCTTACATTTTGGCTTGTCCTGGATCATGTGAATTCCAGAGCACAGCAACAGACGCGGACAACGCGCGTGGAGTTTGTCCATAAATCACAACGTGACATAAAATGCTGCGCGTAAGATATGGTTCCAGCGTGCCACAGTGAACCCAAATGCCCAAGTAGCGCATCAACCACACAAGAATAAACTACATTTTACACAGTGCCACAGAAACTAACAAAAACAACTGTTAAGAAAAAAAGTTGTTATAATTTAGTTATTCAGTTGCCTATAGTGTCATTGCCAAGCACGTTTGTGATTGTGATTAAAATTACACTGACTGTTATCTTGTGCGTAAAAGTGAACATTAAGACGTGTGCGCATTAAAACGGTCTTTTTTATACGGAAGTAAGTCTTGTTTGAAATAATAATTAACATGCATTCCATTTGCATGATTACTGTCGCCTGAGCAAATGTCTACACTAGGCTATTTGATTTGAATACGCTGTATATATAATATTCGGTTTTATTTTACTTTAAAAACTGTGATATTAAATCAACTGGCTGTTAAATGTAACTTCTATTCTCTTTTTCAGGAAAAAAAATACTGATATTAAAATTGTACAGTAATTGTACATATTTTATAACGGCACATACCGCGTTATTCATTTCACACCGGAGCTTTGTGAAGACACCCGTAAAGTGCCCGTTTCCTTCCCCCCTCTCTCCCCCTCTCTCCTGTTCTGTCTATCCCTCTTTTCTCTCTCTCTCTCTCTTTCACTCAAGTCCCGTTGTGTGGTCAAGTTCAGTACATCATCCTCCGGCCCCGTACCGAGAGAGGCTTCTTATTGGTTCGCTCGCCCCTCTTACATCACCGGGACGTTTCGTGACGCGCACGTCTTCCTGTTTCCTTCTGCCGCGTCTTAAAGTGAATCTTTTTAGTGGCCGAGGAGCGCTCCTGCATCACAGTGCCTCTTGCATCCCACGCGGTCCGTATCTGAGGATAGACGGACAACGGACTCGTGACACTCGTTTCAATCCACTTTGTCGCGACTCTTTGTCCAGCTCTTTGAAAAATATTCATCCCTCTACAGAGAAACTTCCCTTTTGACGCCTTTGGGAGTTTGAAACAGTCCTCTGCTCGTCTAAAGGGTGAGTAACCTTGTCCTCGCGCTGTGCGTCCTGTGTGTGCCTCGCCGTGCGATGCGTAAAACAAACTAATAAATCCATTCTTCTCATCAACATCCAATTATGTGTCCATGTACGTGGTTGTATTTGCTCTGTGCCGTTCCGCTCTGGTCCTGGTGGAGAGTTGAGTGAGCAGCGGTACAGTGGGTTTTTTATTGCTAGGATGATACGCGTAGCCCAGCCTTCCTCATCACAGCGCAGATTGGAGAGTTGGTTCACACTTATAGAAGTAAGTTTACGCACTTCAGGGACTTTTAAACAGATAGAAACTTTGTGTTTTAGCAGAGTTTGACTTTATACCGGGATCTATTTAACTCCAGTTTGTGGTTTGAATCTTTTGGTTGTTATATGACATTTAATGATCAGGGACAATCGCTTCGTTTTTGTACAGATGTGTAGCTCTTTATATTTGGTTTTATTCATGTGTCAAAACCGGGCGCACAAGAAAAATACATTTTTTGTGTGTGTTTATTCGTTTTTTACAATTGTGATAAAAATATGATGTGAATGTGTACTGTTGAGATATGAATTCCCCAGATATAAAGGAAGAGGAAGTTTTGACAAGTTGATAAAACAGGTGTAGCCTAATTAATCGGCAAGTAATAGTTTAAAGCGTCTCTCTGAGTGACAAAGAGTGTGAGTGCGCATGGGCAACAGAGGACAGGTGCTCCGTCAGAAAAGACAGGTGCTAAAGACTATTTGAAGCTCATTGTCAAGTTGGAGTTACATCAACTGTTTTATGAGCTTCAAATATGTATAATATGTTTTGTATTTTATTTTACATGCATGAGGTTTTATTGTTAGGGTTAGGGTTAGAAATACCTATTTTGTGAACAGATCAAATTCCTTATGGCAAGATGTGCATCAGACTCATAAACTAATTCATTTAAATAGTCTTTTATCATATATGATATGTTAGTAAAACATTTAGTTAAATATTAAAATGAGAATTTAAATTAAATAGAACATGCATATTTTGGGATGTGATTAAACGCTTTAAAATTTCTTTAAGCTCCTTTTTGGCACAGTTTTGCGCACAACACAGTTTTCATTTCCATATATCATAGACGAGATACATTAGTGTAACATGTACAAATAAATATTTTTTATTTTAGTTTTTGGTCTTGATTTTCTGTGGATCAGTCTAACCCTGCTGCTAACTGAGGCTCACAACATTATCGATGCAGGCCTGTACTGACAAAACGTTTTGCTTTCAGAGGAGCATTAGGGTTTTTGTAAGAACACTTTAGGTTGTTCCTTGCCAGAGTTGACCCCTTTGACCTATTCATTTAAGCAGAATTAACTGCCCTTGCCAGATGAAAAGACAAACAAAAACACAGAAGTGAGCTCACGCTGGCACCAAAATCAATAGGCCTATTTTGTGTTTCTTTTATGTCACTCTCTCCTTTTCCTCTGATATGATGGCCATATTGATTAATGTCAACTCAAAACTACAATTAAGAGAAAAAAATGTACTGATGCAAAATACACTTAGAGCACTTATTACACAGAAAGTTTAAGCTTGTGTACGTTTATGTAGCCTTTAGAGGTGAATAATGAATTTAAACAGAAATTTAAAACAGTTGCCTGCTACATTTCTTAGTATGACATTTCCCTGTATTTATTTATCTATTTTGTTAATTGTCCCTGTGTGGGCTCATAGCGCTCGTATATGTAAATGAGGACAACTACTTAAGTAATTATCATAATTTTATGCAGCTTTGTGCTCCGTGGGAACTGGTTCAGTGTCTCATGGCGTGTAACAGGGGAAAGGATAAAATGTAGGACTTTGCCCTGGAATGTTGAGCAAAGGCCTAATTCTAACCACACAAACCTCTGAAGTTCATCAAATTTAATCATGTTTATGCCTTTTTATAGCAGCCTACGTATATCTACTGATTCACACCCTATATTCACATGTTTATGTAAAATGTTTTATACATTAAATGATTTTTCCTGTGATAACGTGTGTCTATAAACTCTGTCCTCAGGTACACAAAAGGCTTTGGCTAAGAGGAGTGACCTGCGGGATATGGCCCAATAGCCGCAGCACGTGATGCCGGACCATGACAGCGACTCCCTTCTGAACAGACAGACCAAACGCAGACGTGTGGACATTGGTGTGAAGAGGACCGTGGGCAGCATAGCCTCAGGAGCCACCGCTGCAGATAGCATTGCTCGCGCCAAAGCAGCCATTTTCAGTGCCATGAACTCTCTGAGCTCCCACTCTCACCACGGATCAGACACAGACTCCATGGATTGCTCTGTAGTGCAGCCACACGGTGGGCCTGGCGTAGTGTCAGCTAGTGACAGTGAGTCCAAATCAAATGTTCTGCGAAAGCTACTGAAGAGGGCTAATTCATACGAGGATGCCATGATGCCCTTTCCTGGCACCACTATCATCTCTCAGCTTCTCAAAAATAACATTGCAAAGAATGGAGGAGGGCATGACCGAGGGGACAGAGGTGACAGAGATGTGGGCTTCTCTAACTCAGGGCTTTCCAATACAAGTTCAGAAGCACCTCAAGAAGACGCATGCAGTAACTCGTCCCAGGACAGCACCCCTCAGGAGTGCCTGTCTCCCTTTGGCCGTCCTCCTGGCTTGGCCAATTTTGACATTGAGCGTCTCAATGATGAACATCTGCGTGCCAAACGAGCCCGCGTAGAAAATATTATTCGCGGCATGAGCCACTCGCCCAGCGTGGTCGTCCCTGCTTCGTCTCGACATGAGCGTGACCACGACATTGATGCAGATCGGGACATGGAGTTAGACTGCCCTCCCCCCAACGCCCAGCAGCAGGCCCCCAGCAGCCCCCGGGGTGGGGAAGTGTGCAGCAGCAACCGAGAGAACAAGCGCAAGCAGCGCCTGCCTCAGCAACAGCAGCAGAGCTTCACTCAGCTGGTGTGTCAGAGGAAGGAGCAGAAGATAGAGGAGCGCAGGCAACTCAAACTCCAACTGGAGGACATGCAGAAGCAGCTGCGGCAACTCCAAGAGAAGTTCTTTCAGATCTACGACTCAACAGATGACTCTGAACACAATGAGCTCCACAACGACCTTCATAATGACATAGGAAACATGTCTGAGGACAGCCCGGCCCGCTCCGACAATGGTGCTGATGAGAGAAGTGGAGAGGACCTGCGCTCTGACAATGAGATGTCTGACCTGGACCCAGGCCATTTCCTGGACAGGGCCAGAGCACTACTTCAGGAACAAGCTCTGCTGGATGGAGACAAGCCACGGAGAGAGGGGCTGGGACGCAAGGGCCCAATGCATCCTGAAGGAAAACAGCTGGCTGAAACGCTGAAGCAGGAACTCAACTCAGCCATGACCCAAGTGGTGGACACAGTGGTTAAAGTGTTTGCCAAGCCTCCACGCCCCACGCCTCAACAAGCCTTCCCCCCTCTTTCCCTCCCTCCTGAAAGATTTCCCCCCACAGTGAACGGAGACAATCCTAACTTCCACACAGCTAACCAGCGCCTGCAGTGCTTTGGTGATGTCATCATTCCCAACCCTCTGGACTCTTTTGCCAGTATGCCAGGCCTGCCAGGGCCAGCCAACGACCAAACAGAGGCTCTGCCTCTAGTGGTGAGGAAGACCCCCAGTGAACACCACCACCAGGCCTCAGCTGTAGGGGCCCATGGTGGGCACCATCACCCAGCTCTCCACCCCTCCTCACTGTCTGCCTCTATGGGCTTCAGCCCCCCATCTTTCAGGCACCCTTTTCCCATTCCACTCTTAGGTTACCCTTTTCAGAGCCCTCTGGGAGCACCCACGGGTGGTTATGGAGGGAAAGACCGGTCCTCACCTGATTCCATGGACCTGTCCAGAGAAACAACCAGCCTGAGGACCAAGATGGCCGGTCACCACCTGAGTCACCACCACCATCGCTCTCTTTCACCAGCACACCCCGGCAGCACAGCCGAATCTCTGTCTCTGTCCCTCATCAAATCTGAGTGCAGCGACCTCCAAGACATGGCCGACATCTCGCCCTACTCCGGCAGCAATGTATCCTTTTATACAGTATTAACCACAGCATTAACCACAGCATTAATAGGTGAAGCTAGAAGTTTTCTCATTTTCTAGTCAAATTGTTGATGAATCACCTTTCCTCCCACTGTTGTTCTCTCTCACACATTTCTAATGTATCTGTCTATTCATTTTTACACCCATACATCTTCATTCCCACAACAACCTTTTCTTCCATCTTCAACCTCGAGTGCTTTAAAAGCTCTCCTGTCACATATCACTTACTTACAAAGATTAGTTCCCCACGACATTTACTGCCCCAATTCCTTTTATAAAAATGGTCACAGGGAAGGAAGGAGATAGCGTAATGAAACTTGGCAAACAATGGTCTTGTATAGTGTCCCTTATAGTTAACCCCAGAGTGCCCCAACAGTGCCCTGCAGATAAAGAGGCTATGCCCAGTGGGAGGCTCAAATTGACTCCCCTGGAGACTCAAGACTAATAGACACATTCAGTCCTCCTCTGTTTCTGTGATACCACCTTGGCCTTGCACATATTTAATCAACGTTTTCATTGTGTTTTTAGTTATTGCTTTCATGCTCAACTAATTCTGTCTACTTAAGTAATGATCAGGAGAATATTTCATTTCATTTTATGTCTGTGTAGTGTGCTGTTTGTCACTAAAGGTTCGTCTGAGGACTCAGTAAAGATGTATATTTATGAGTGCTTGTGTTTTCCCTCTTCCTTATCACCTATCGCTGTTGTAAAAGGCCCACTATCATTGTCGTCTCTTTTCTCTTTTTTTCATTTCATAAAGATCTGTCAACAGCCTGGGGGGCCCTTCGGCTGTTGCTTGGCAGCCGAATACTTCTTTTTTTGTTTTCTCTCCCTGTACAACCACCGCCCCCCTCCTCCCTGTTCTTTCTTTGAAGCGGACGTTAACAGGTGTTTGCAGCGAGCTGTTTATCTTTCATTACCTCGCCTTGTCTTGTCTTCTGACCCAAGGGTGAACGCTTTCCAGAGATCCATAATCCTTTGCTTCTACTGGTTCCCGATGGAAGGATGAAAAGGGGGAGATAGACATACACGCACTAAGAGAAAGTAGACAACAATCAAACAGTAAGCACATATGCCAGATGTTGTGGCTTTATTGTTGCATTAGAAATTGCAGACTGTTTCCAGGTGTACATGTCCAGTTTAAAATGAAGAAATGATTTGGTGTATTTGATTAGACAAAGTTGACCATTGGTTGAACTTTGAGTTTCATCTTTGAGTTTTAGAAGTCAGGGACAGTTTGACATTTTATGGGGTGCGTTCGAGTTCAGCAGCTCGAGCGATTTGTGGAGCAGATGGCTGCTATCAATTTCCACATTTGTTCTCCACTCGACTCCAAATATTCTTGTCCTTACACCTGAAATTAGGAAGAGGAGCAGCTATTTTCCCCCTCATGACTTTGTGCTACGGGGAAGTGTTGTGAGAATGATGATGTCTTGTCAGATGTGGCATGCGAACAGTGGGCCAGCTGGTGTGAGTGCACCATCATGACAAAATAATAGCCCTGCACGCCACCCCTAAGTCCAATCACAATTACATTTGCAAGCTGTGAGTGAATTGAAAATGAAAATGCCTCATTAGGTGATATGAAGCGTCTTAATTGTCATCTGAAAGGGACTGATATCACATTCAGGGGTAAAACCAAAATCGCTTTGTTTTAAAATCATTTGTAATTTAGCAGTGAAGAAAAATTATAATCCTAATTAAATTTGCAAAAACAAATAATTCTTATTGCAAATGCAAAGCTTTCACACAAACAAATCCAGCTATAGTGTGGTTGAAAGGGCTCCTTTTGCTGTGCTCTCAGTGTGTGTGAGCAGCCATTGTGTTGGTCCACTTGCAGCAGATGGTGTGGTGTGGAGAGTGGAGTGCTGCTCTTTTGGCCAGGCCTGACAGAGTAACACCAGTCTGCCAGGGTTTCCCCCACAAGACCCTCGCTGCGCACACAGCCTCCCTGTCTCTCTCCCTGCGCTCGCTGAAACAGACAAAGTAGACAGGCTCTTTAAGGAGCCAGCCCGGTGTGGCTTTGCCATGTAACCCTGGGGCCAAGGGCAATCCAATCTCCCAGCTGATGCCTCCTACCGACTCTATAGTTACAGCTACATCTGGACACTTGACTGACTTTAATGATCAGAGCCACCCCTGTTAGATCATAAATAACGTCACCCAATGTATTTTGTCCAGTCAAGTGTAAACAGTCTTCATAAAAACTTAGGGCTGTACCTAGTGTATAATTTAAAGCCCTGTATTGCCCAGTTGATGAAAACCCTTGTTGAAACAGCCTGAGGTTTTCATATGCGTCCCGCCCCCCAGCCCGAGCTCCTTTCAATGTCTTCTTCTCCAGATTGATATTATCAGATGCATTATACGGCTGTTAATTCACCATGGAAATGGCTTGGGCTGTTCAGTGGCGCAGATGTGCTCCGGTCCCCCCAATCTCCAGCTCTGTCCAAAGGCTCACAGAAGCCCTTTCTCCTTCTCCTCCTCCTTCGTGTGCTCCTCCAAGGCTTTGGCAGCGGCAGAGCGCCTGGGGGGCAGGGGTGGAGCACAGGGAGGAGGAGGGGTGTAATTGAAGGTTGGAACCATGCTCTCCCTCAAGGTGCCCCCACAGCCCATCTTCATCGTCTTCAATCCAAGCTATCCATTAGGAAGACGAGGCCTCTGACATGTATTTGGAGATGGCCTGAGAAGGTTGTGCACATCACTCAGTCCTTCCTCATACAGATAATGTTTGGCTATTGATATTAAGCCAACAACACACTGTCATATTCAGGGCTGGCACGTGTAGTCGCCAAGCCATTAGGCATTCTTGCCTGTCACTGGCGTTAACTGCTGTCTTTGTCTGTGATATGCAAATGTCTCGTTTTTTTCTTCTTCCCTTTTTGGGTGGAGGTGAGCGCGGGGTATAGGCAAAGACTTACTTTGACTGTGAAATGAGTCTCCTTATGTAAAAAGCAGAGCAGAGCAGGCCAGCGTTTTTTTATTTACCGTGACACTTACACCTGATAAAAACTATTCTAATCACATGCAAACACTCCTGCCTTGGTGCACTGTCTTCATACTCCCGTCAGCATTGAGGCTTGAAAGAAATTTGGTTACTTTTCATGCGAGTTACATTTTCTTGTGGATTCAGCAGCTAATCATTCACAGATTAAATAAACTTAAACAAATACATGTGTTTCTCCTTCCACTAGCACCTTCTATGTGTCCTTAATGTTAGCTATTTCAGATCCAGGAGGGTCTCTCCCCCAATCACCTGAAGAAGGCCAAGCTCATGTTTTTCTACACTCGCTACCCCAGCTCTAACATGCTAAAGATGTACTTCTCTGACGTGAAGGTGAGTTTCAATCTAAAAACAACCTATCTCTTGTCTTCTATCTCCTCTTTCTCTTATGCGTGTTTTCTGTAAATGCAACTGCCTTCACAGAGGAAGTGTTTTTAATTTAACTATCAGCTTCAGTTACTGCAAACAATAGCAGCTTGTTGATCTTGAAAAAAAGTCCTTCTCCCATTTGTTAAGTTATGGTTTTATGCAAAAGATGTAAGAAGAGGAAGTTTACATGAAGCGACCAGGCACAGATGACTAATGTCTGTGTGGGGAGGGCAGATGGGAGAATGAAGCCTGTGACAGGAGTGGTTACCTACAAAGTGCACAGTGGATACTAGGGCAAAGCATTAGCACAACGGAGAACTACAGAATATTAAGACTCGCTAACAATGTCGATGCAGCACAAATAGTTACACAATGGGCGGTGTTGTGTCTGACCGAGTTTTTGCACATTTTGTTGTTGTTTGCACACCCCTTGGACCATACGGAGGGGTAAACACAGTGACAGATCCAGGCCATCTTATTCAAATCAGAAGATAAAGGTTCTCTTTACTCCCAGCTGCCCCCACTTGGAAACCAGTGCCACAAACCTCAGCTCGCGTTGTCATGTGACTGTCTCTCAAATGATTGGTCCAACTCTATAAAGGCAAATATATGTTGCCCTTAAGTTTGTTATAGTGTAATTAAAAATGTATGTATAGTGTAGATTTTTTTTTTAAATTACTTATTTTGACCACAGGTTCTGACTACCACTGGTAGATTGATTGATTAGTTACAAGAAAGTGGCCTCTTCTTGAATGGTCTCATCAGATAATTAAACAAGGTCAAGATAGTTAAAGGGATTATGAGTCAGATCAGTTTGTTTTTGTTTTCAGTGAATACAATGAGCTGGGGCCATACATTAGCAGACATGTATGGGAATGAGACGGAGCTAGTGTGGCCTCTTAGCTTCACACAAAAGTCTTGAAGCCTAAATCTGTGCTAATCAGGCTTGGGTTGTAAGGAACCTAATGAACGTGGGAAGTGGGTTGCCCCCGACAACTGCGGGACGCCACCACTCACTTTCTCCCTCATTAAGCTCTTTTTAAGACTATTGTGACTTTGTTGACTTCTGGTGTTGGTAAAATGTTTTGACATGTGTCTCAATGACGGCTTACATTTTAGGCCTCAATAATATACATTGTCTTAATGCAATGTAATTTATCAGAACAAATTAGATGATTCCAATCAATTAAAAAAGTCTGCCTATGAAATGTGAGCTATGAGATTTATAATAGAGCTATGCCTGACAGTTTTAATAAATAATAAATAAAACATATAGCCCTATCAGCAAAGCAATTCACTATTCAAAATTACACAAAAATAAAAAATAAAAAAAAATAAAAAAATAAAAAAAAATATATATATATAAACAACATTAAAAATCACAGTAGATTCCATGTCTAATACAGGTCAAAATTCACTTTCAAATAAGACAATACATAATAACACTTTAAATTGAAATAAATGATTCAAAAAAAGCAATATTTTAATTAGCCTACTTATTAATGATCTTAATGATCTAAAAAGCAATAAGTAAGCTATGAAGGTGTATGTTTACAAAAACTATTCTTGGGACCAAAGAGGTAACCCCCAAAACATTCGTATTAAGTGAACATTTTTCGCACTTCACTAAAAGTTTGACTCTTCATTTAAAGCTCCCCGTGCTGTAGAATAACAGGGGTCAGTAGGGTTTCCCCTCTTTCTAAATGCCATTCCTTCTCTTGTCTTTTTTCGCTGATGTTGTGGTGTGGTATGTGCGCCTCGCCGCTCCGAGTGTGTGAGAGAAAGAAAAGCCAGCCTCTGGATTTGAGTCGCCGCAGTAACAAAAGCTCACTTTCCAGGGCCGCTTTTTGTGTGTGGTCAGCCAATAGGCAGCCAGAGATTATCTCCCACAATTCACTCCTGCAAAAACAGGAAGAGGTGGAAAGCCCTGATGACTGTGAAGGGGCTTATGATAGTGCGAGGCAGCGGACCAGTGTGTGTCATTCTGTCCATCTCTGCACTTGTTCTGCAGCCCTACACTCTGAGCTCATCGGTAGACTTTGGGTTTAATTTAAAATCAATAATTCATTAAATACATATATTAGTACAATTAGCCACTTATATTATTGAACTATTATATCAACACAGAAGTACAATACAGCTGATTTGTTTTTATATTCAAAGAAAACGCTTGTTACAGCAAATCAACTACCTCCTACATTGCTTGTGTACTGACTGACTCATATAGGTTTTAATACCAGATGCCCAAGGCCAAAACAGATACCTTTCGACACTACAATATTACATCTAATTATGACATTACTTATTAGTAGACGTTTAAAAAGTACAAATGAAATAAGGTAACAACTATTTGACATCAAACTGACAGACCACAAATACCAACTGACACCAACATAGTGAGTAATTGAAGTCTACTTGACAGTTTTCCTATTCTGGACTTAAGTGTGTTCCGCAGCATGTACAGGACGGGGCTCTGTATCTTGCACTGCTGTCTCTAAGTGCTGACCTTTCACAGCCTCTTGAGTGTGAGTGTGAGAAATGCACTCTCCGTGTCTCTCTCATCTGCCCCTCGGTCGCCTGGCCCTAACACACACACACATACTTGGACATCCACACACATGTATTTCCTATAGTGTGGTTTGCCGGCTGACCCCTGCCAGCCCTGATTAAGGAGCTGCAGTGATGTGCGCCTTTGAACCAATCACCTCCCCTTTTTACACTGAGCGCTCTTGTCCTCGGACGCGATCAGGGGGTCTTTTGTACCCCACCAGCAACTTAATGAACCAAGACTGCTGGAAGCGACGGGGGCACTTGCCAAAAAACAAATTCCCTGGAGCACCTCATTTGGGAGTACAGCGTAATTTAGCTTGTTTAGCGGCATGTATGGTAAATATTGTAGCTTTTGTTGCGCTTTGGTCAAGAGGCATTGGCTAAGAGAGGAGGCTTCTGTACAAAAAACCCTGTCAGTATAATAAAGTAATCCTTGCGAAGTGAAAAATGCACACGTCGCTAGCAAAGGTGACACTTAAGGTCTAAAGATTGAGTGATGGCCACACTTTCACACACTTTAATCTTACTATAAGACAGATGCTATGCTAACACGCACCTCCGCCAATTCACTCAACTAAGAGAGGCTAGTTTTCAATAGACAAGGCTTAGCGAGTGAAAAAGAGCTGGCGCTCCATCACGTCGTACTGTCTGATACATTGTGCGTGTTTAAGAATAGCAGCTGATGTAGTATTTGTAAGTGTCAGGAGTTTGTTTGTTCGACTCGCCCATGTCACGACCCCGGCTTGCTGACTACTCGCGTTCCGGACCCCCCTCGCTCCCCTCATCACCCCTCCATCACACCCCCGCCTCCCCTCCAAGCATCAAAACGCCATTGTCCATCGGAGCTGACCTGCGCCGTCCTCCTCCCTCTCCTCATTTTCGCGTTTATGCTCACCATGCACTTTAGGACCTATCCTCTGTCCCGTACACACACATGTCCAGTCAAACAATGTCAGGCAGACTTATGCTTTCACCATTATGTCATCCCCAAAATGGCAGCGACCCGGACCCCCTCCCCCCCTTCTCTCTCTCTCTCCTCTACCTCATCCCACCTTGAACCAACTATTCCCAACTTCTCTCTCCTCTGTCTCCTCTGTGTTGTATGCATATCCATCTTTGTGCACTTGTGTTTGTTTTCCACTACCGTGCCAGATTGTGGACTGCATATATTGTGTGTGTATGTATGCGCTGAACAATGGCCAGAGCCTAATCTCCATGTCAAAACCACTCGGCCTCCCCAGTGAGCCGTCCGCTCAGCGTTTAGTAGTGTTTTGTCCCCCATTCTTCACCACAAAGAGAGCAGAGGGGAGGAAAGAGAACGCCTCTATTAGGAGGTGTCTGTGTACTGTAATAGAAGATTTTGTGGTTTATAAAGAATAGATTTTTTTTAATTAGAAAAAAATGTATTTGTGTACTAGTTTTATGATTGAATAATGATATGTCATTGAATTTATGGAAGGTTGCTTTTAGATTATGTTTCAATATGTAATTAAATTTAAATTAATTAGTAATAATTATATAATGACTAACTTTTAAAGTATAATTGTCATTGTAATTTTTAAAAAATCAGATTAGCTCAAAGGTAAACTAAAATCATCTATAATCAATATTTGATCACTCGCTTATATATCAGTTATGCATTTTTTATATTTAAAGATCTGTGTAAGTGGTGTATTTTAGAGTGACTAGCGCAGGCAGTTATCAGTGCCCCCCGAGGGCCTTATCTAGTGGTCTGGATGTTTAGACAGTTTGTTTTCACTGCTTAGACCAGGCGGAAAAAAGCACTGGACTCTTAATAGGTTTACCTCGCCCTATTGAGTCCAGCAGAGCGGGGCAGATCACATGTCCTCTGTCTCTTGCTCCTTTCTTCTTCTCTCCTTCGAACTTGTTCCTGACAGTGAGGAAAAATAGAAAGAGTGTAATTGTTGAATGGGGTTAAGTACATGTTAGAGCCCCCCACAGGCCAGGACAGCTTCAGATGATGACTTAATCGTTTTCCTGGTCAATTATGTGTTTGCGGTGCGCCCCTCCACCTCTGCCTCTGTGGTGGGGTTATGATAGGGGGAGGTCTGGTCCCAGTGGGGGCACCTCCTCCTTCTGAGCTGTCCAAATTAATGTCTCTATTATCCTCGCTCACTCTGTTGCTCTTTTTCCTGCATCCTTTCTGCTTTGTCCAATGTTCTATGTAAACTGAAATATCCTCATTTCACTTCTTATCTCAAACATGCTTGATAATAGATGAATAAACAGAATAAACAGTGCAAAATTACTCAAATACAAATATCGCAAGTGTAAGTAAAAGTATTTGAGAGCTACAAGAGATTACAAGCCTAAATGCTCCAGTCCAAGTTTATTTGTATAGCACATTTTATAAACAAAGCACTGCACATCATAGTACAAATGCTCTTTGTACTAGCCCCAGGCATGGATAAATAAAGAAAACAGGTCAGCTATCCAATGTAAAACATACAAATATGCAAATCAACTTTTTTAACTTGCTACCAAAATGTTACCCTCTCTATGTAATATTTCTATTTCAACACTTCAAGCAGCCATCTTTTACATCTCATCTCAACTTATACAGACAGCTTGTTACTCAAACTTTACTCTATCCAATTATCTTTTTTTTTTTTTTTTTTTCAGTTCAACCGCTGCATTACATCCCAGCTGATCAAGTGGTTCAGTAACTTCCGGGAGTTCTACTACATCCAGATGGAGAAGTTTGCGAGACAGGCCATCAACGACGGAGTGACTGGGGCGGATGAGCTCGGAGTCAGCCGCGATTGTGAACTCTTCAGAGCCCTCAACATGCACTACAACAAGGCCAACGATTTTGAGGTACACAAAAGATATTAGACTATACAAAATGCATTCACTCTGAGACAAACAGTGCTGAAATAATGCAGTCCTTATGGGAAGGCTTGGATTACACCTGATACTTGAAGGTGCAGAGAGGGTAGGGTGACACATCTCTCTGTGTCCTTGCTCAGTCAAGTTCACATCGCCTATAGATGCTGCAACTCTCGACACAATGTACTATGTGGAAAAACAGCTTTGTCTTTCATGGAAGAATAGGCGAAATGATAAAAACAAGATTTTACCTATTACAATATATTGTCAAGTGTACAATTCTTTTCACTTGCCCAATCACATTTAGTATAAGGACACCCTCTGACTAAGTATAACAATGCATATTACATGATTTTCTGATCTATGTTATAATGTTTGTTTCTCATTAGAAGTATACCTGGAGTTATGTTTTGATTCATTCACATGTTTAACACACAAACATATGTGCATATTTAGGCTGAGTTCTTCTCTCAAATGGAAAACACTCAATACAGGAAGTGCTCCACTGTGTTTTTAAGCTCCATACACCTTCACTAGGAACATTTGGATCATTTCAGTCCTGGAATTGCTCATCTCTACTCACCAATAGGTAAAAGGAGCTGTTAACTTGCTTCATGTATCACAAGGTGGAACAGAAAATTTAGCTGTTTTTTTACTCAAACATGTGTGAATGACAAAACACAATTCCAGGTATGTTTTTGAGGAGAAAACAGCATTCTAACATGGCCAAAGGCTTACAAGAGAGCATTTTGCTGAACCTTTAAGTGCATAATTTATGGGTTCTGTAGATGTATTAGGAATGTTGGTTACTTAAAAATGCGCGAACCCCACGCACAAGTATGGTGTGCAAATGGCATGCATGACACCAACATAAAGAAAAAAAATGTTTTAGTTAATTAGTCTCAAAGAAAGGACAGGAACTTAAGTGTAAAGAGGAAGAAACCAGTTGTTTCTCCCCACTGTAACCTTTTAGTGGTTTACAGCCTGCACGCAAAGGTGTATTTGAGAACCGCATTTAACTTCCCTGTCCTCATTTTCCTCTTATATTGTCTGTATGGCTCTGCATCTTCCACTACATTACGTTACACAGTATATTGCTAATTCTCAGTAGACACCCTCACCTTTACCGTATGTCATTTGTCACACTTCTCTTTTACTTTGTCAAAGTCGGGGAACAATCGTCCTGGGTTTTATTTTGAAGAAACACTTTGTCCGTATACTGTAAGTGAGTGCTCGTGGGTGTTTTGTTGTTGCTGCATTTCCCTGTGTCCTGTTCACCTCGAAGGGTACAGTCGTCCCTTGGACCGGCCTGGCATGCTGGCAAAGCATTTCTCCAATGTGTGTGTGTGTGTAAGTGTGTGTGTGTGTGTGTCACTTTGAGGGGGGGATCTCACTGTTATCAAGGTTAAGCGTCCTACTGTTTTACTGAGAGGAAAGGGGGGAGGAATAGATGGATAGATAGGGGAAAGAGGGTGAGAGCTCGGAGACAAAGGGATGACGGTGGGGCAGGGAGGGAGGAAGAGGGAATTGTGGGTAAAGAAGCAGAGGAGAAAAGGAAGTGCCCTTGTGAGCACTGGGACTGTTGTAGCACTCACATTTAAAGTGGTGCGCTTCTGTTGGCTGTGGTTTAGGGTCTGCTTCTCCTGCTTTATTTGTCCACTGGGGCTAGTCTCATGTACACTCCCCCAATCCATCTCCACCTCTCCTCGGGGACGCTGTGAAAGACCATGCACCTAAACACTTGGTTGTGATCTGAGGTACAGAGTAGTTCTGTGCAAACACATGTTAAAAATATGACAACATTAATTATAAAACTGTAGGGATTTGAATAATTAAATGTTGTATTCTTTGCTTATTACAAGGAGATCCAACTGTCTTGAAGCATGTCCTCTCCTTTAGGTTTCATTTTTCATAATCCTGGAATCAGCTTCTCTTCATATCAAATTATGCTTTGTGTCACCCACAAAGATATCCATATGAGCAAACTAAACATCTCAAATTGTTGAAGTACTTTGTCTGACATCAAAGTATTACGCGTTAATCGCTTGCAAAAACAAACACAAAGTTAAAAAAATACATTGTACTATCTATTTGCATGGGCCTTAAAAGGGATACAGCAGAGCCTTCTTATTAAAACAACCTTAATCCCTCTTGCAGCTGCACAAAACTGTTCATGCAGTCGTTCAAACTTGTCAGATACCTCAGATACATTTAAAAGCAAATAACTTATACAGCAATCTTCTTTGTATTACGCCATAAAGCTCCGGACAGTACCCTCCAGGCAGGACCATCAGTCTTGCTTGTACCAGGAAGCTGCTGTTGTTTAAGGGGAACAGCTTATTTGCATACATAAATGTGAAAATTTGCAAGAAGACAGGCTGAGAGGAAAAGAGTGCGTAGCCAGGTGAATAAGTCTTCTGTTGGCCGTGGAGGAGAGAAACCAGAGGAGGGAGGTGGAGGGCGTTTTGCATATTAAGGTTTTTTTTGCTGGGCAGGTGTCTGTGAGATACAGGAGCTGATTACCACAAGGAAAATTTGCCCAGCCATGCAAATTTTAACTCCCCTTGACAAACTAACTGCCTTGTGAGCGAGAAGTGTGCTTGTCATAAGAGAATAAGTTTAAGAGGAAGTAAGAGCTCCAACGAACTAGCTCAGCTCACTTCATATTTCTGTTTTTTAATTTAGGATACAGCGTAATATACACAAGACAGCTCCAGCCACAACTATTTACATCTCTGTGTCGATACAGAGCATTAAGTAAATATTATAAGTTTGTGATTTTAATTTGAGTTTAGTACAATTCTACAACATTTTAATAGTTTCTTTAATATATCATGCTGTCTAAAATAGGTGCCATTTTTTACTTTTTCTTTGCAGTAGTGAGATATTATGTTATAAGATTGTTATTTCTTTGCAATATGATGAGATTTGAAATGTAGAAAATTTAATAAATAACTTCTAGGTAACTTAGGTATTGCATTCTGCTATTTAGTTATTATAACTCATGTTTTCTTTTTTTAATGTTGTACATTTAGAATTTTTTTTAGGGATAATTCTGCTTTATAGTTTGGTTTCAGTATTAGAATTTTTATTTACTTCAGCAATATATCGCACTTCAAAATTTGTTATTGTGACAGGCCTAATTTTAATGAAATCTCTCACTATAGCTTTCAGTTGCTATAAAAGCACGATAATAAAAATATGGTACGTAATAATAATACGATAAATAAAGTCTCCAAATCCCTGCCCACTGATTCCTGGTGTACATTGGTCACACCTCCTGTACTGATTCCACTATTCCTCTCCTGTCTATGGAGCTAATGTAGGAGTTATTATCATTGGCCCGGGTGTGTGCGTGGGCTCTAAACCATCGAGATGTTTGTGTGGGAATTTAGCGAAGTCTTGTGAAGGTGCGCGGAGACGTTTGTTACATTTCTTCTGTTTGCACGGGTGAATCATAGAGGTAATGTGTATCAGGATGCCCCTTAGGCCTTATTTTTTGGTAGCCCTCTTCCTCCTCCTCCTCCTCCTCCTCTTCCTCCTCTACCTGCCTCCTGCACCACCACTTGAAACAGGAGCCTACGCATATTCAGCAAGCTCGCACATAAATCCTTTGCCAGATTTCTGCGTCATCAAAGTCCCATCCACCTTGGTTACTTGCTTGGAAAGAATATGTTCTCTGTATTCTTGTCTATGGGCTTTCTTGTTTGATGCTAATCTGCCCTGTCACTGTGCTGGCCTAATACGAACCCTAGCTCCTCTTTTGTGGCAATTGTTCTCAACTCTTTTTTTTTCCTTTTTTCGTTTTTCCTTCTGTCGCCTCATTCGTGCTTTCATCCTCCTCTTTTGCATGTCTTCCATCCTCTCCATTAGGAAGTTTTAACGGCTTAATTGTCACATTGCTTCTGGCAGAATGAACACCATCGGTAATTAAAGAGCCAGGCGTTAATTACCTAGACCCCGGCGTTCCTACGTTCCTCTGTTTCTCAAGCCCCCCTCCTGGTTTTCTATCCTTCTCTTCTCCTATCTTTTCTGCTCATCAAAGTCTTCGGCTAAAAAGCAGCCTTGACTTTGAGCAAGTGCCCGCTTTCATGTGAGGACTCAAGTGAAAAATCTGGCTTCAGTGTGTCCTGTGTCTTTGAAGCCTTGCAATGACAACACACTCATCATCTTTCATAAGACAAGAATGTGTGTGACCCCGCTAATAGTTTGGGACACACACACATACACATACACACCCAGGCACACAGACACACAAAGAGGTGGAGCGCGATGATGATGATGGCTCTGGGAAACTCTCCGATTTCAATAAGGCAAAGTTTTCACTCCTCCCCAAAGTAGAAGCTCCTATGGTCTTTGAAACAGTGCTTGGACATGCAGGTGTTAAATGTGACCTCAAGCATAATGTCATTTTGTTCAAAGTGCCTGAGTGACTAGAACACAATATTTTGGAATATTACAAAAAAATAGTAATAATAAACTAAACTTTTGTGGAACCATTATGCACCTGTGGGACACAATTCTGGAAAAAATATTTTTATCCATTGCAAAATGTAGAATGTTACTGCTTTGCCTGAATGTTCGACAATATGGCATTAAACTGGTCTGTCTTATATTTTGTCATAACAGGTGTTTTTATTGCTCAAAAATACATTGAAAAGTGTGTCCTTACTGTGAGCAGGGTCATAACCTCAAGTCTTCACACACCTGTGAAGCCTGAAATGTGGCCTGGCAGTGTCACCTGCTTGTTTCCATGCCAATAAGATAAGTTTAATGCCATACTGTGGAAGATTTCATGCAGCCAAAGTAATAACATTTCACATTTGAAGCCAACTAATAATTGAGGGATACTATATTGCAAAGTCAAGGCTATCCTGAACTAATCCATGGTATTTGGGATATCCAATAACTCATTATAACAAATTAAAAGCTTGTAAGACAAAGATTCAAGAAGGACTAGAAGTCACGTTCACGTTTTTCCTGTATGT